TTCTCCACCCTTACCTTTTTGGAAATCTTTTCTCTTCCTAGCCTCATACACAGAGGCTGAGATGCGGAGTTCATCCTACAGTTTATGACACGTTGGCACCACTGCTTCCTGGGAGCAGCTCCTGCACCATATCATTGACTCCTTTTCATTCTCACCAGCCCTTATCACCACCACTTGCCACTGCCACCACGCAGGAGCCCATTCTAAAACACCGAGTGCCTGACTCTTACTCACATATGCTCTTGCAAAGTATATGTGTATTTAATTTCCTATGCATGCATCTGTACTCACACAGGCAGAATGGTTTTAACACCACTCATGTTTCTTAGCTTTTTAACCCAGTGAGGCAGGAGAACAGGGCCTGCAGGGAAGAAACCTAAGGACTTCCTAGAACTAAATAAAATGCAAACACTTCAGCCAGGACAAGAATACCCTCTCCATTCACACGGGGGTGTACACCAAGCAACCAACGGAAACCTGTAGAGGGTATTGAAACCCCAGAAAATTCTGTCACTGGGGCCTGTGAGCTGCTTGCTCAGGCTGCTCCCACCCTGTGGACTGTGCTCTCATTTTCAGTAAATCTCTGCTGTCACTGATTTTTTCCTTGCTTTGTTTGTGTGTTTTGTCCAATTATTTTTTCAAAACACCAAGAACCTGGACACCCTCCACCAGTAACGCCAGCCCTGCCTTTAAGGGCCATTGGCACATCCAGTCCATGGCATTTGACTTCTGCCACAGCCATATTTTCACTCTTATAGGCAAGGGCACTGAGGTCACCTCCCACCCCGACACCCACAGAGCACAAGGAGATGCTGTGTGCATCTGTCTCCAGGAACCTGTGGAGATTTTGTCACCACAGAGATGCAGGACAGCACACCAGGTCACACGCCCCACGGACTCCCCAGTCCCAGGCTCCGGAGAAGACATGCCAGGCCACCCCCTCTGGACAGCGGCACGTGCACTTTCTGCATCTGCTCCCAATGCCGGGTGCAAATTCATCACCCGCTCCTGCTGGTCTCAGCCGTGGGAAGGGTACATGCCATGTCACTCTGCATCTCTTGGACAAGAAGTGAGTTTGCACATTTCTTCACCAGCCTTTTGTACTTCTTCTGTAAACTGTCTTTCAGATCCGTCACCCATTTTTCTATAAAAGTTACAGTATTAGTTTCCTATTGCTGATGTTACAAATTACATCACAAATTTATTATCTTCTATTTCTGGAAGTCAGAGGTCTGAATCAGATCTCACTAGACAAGTAAGGGTGTCTGCAGGGCTGTGTTCCCTCTGAACAAAAGTCAGGGTGGCTGCGGGGCTGTGTTCCTTCTGAAGGCTTTGGGGAAATTTTCCCTTGTCTTTTCCAGGCCACATTCCTTGCCTCATGGCCCCTTACTCGACCTTTGAAGTCATCAGATTTTTTTAAGCTTTATTTATAATTGACGCATAATAGTTGTACATATGGCCGGGCACGGTGGCTCACACCTGTAATCCCAGCACTTTGGGAGGCCGAGGCGGGCGGATCACAAGGTCAGGAGATCGAGACCACAGTGAAACCCCGTCTCTACTAAAAACAGAAAAAATTAGCCGGGCGCGGTGGCGGGCGCCTGTAGTCCAGCTACTCGGGAGGCTGAGGCAGGAGAATGGTGTAAACCCGGGAGGCGGAGCTTGCAGTGAGCTGAGATCCGGCCACTGCACTCCAGCCTGGGGGACAGAGTGAGACTCCGTCTCAAAAAAAAAAAAAAAAAGAAGTTGTATATATTTATAGGATACAGTATAATGTTTCAATACATGTATACGTTATATAATGATCAAACCAGGGAAATTAGCATATCCATCACTGTAAACATTTATGATTTTGTGATAACATTCAAAATCCTGCCTTCCAGCTATCTGGACAGACACATTATTATTAGCTATAGTCACCCTATTGTTAACAGAACACCAGAATTTACTCCTGTCTAACCGTAACTTCATACCTGTGGACCAGCCTCTCTTCTTTCAGCCTCAGGACTGGGGAGAATTATTATCTATTTTCTGAAACAATCTGTGTAAGTTAGAAATCAAGTGTTCCTTCAAGTTAGGTATAATTCATCCACAAAAATGTGTCTGAGAACTTTTTTTGAATGGAAATCTTTGATTGTCACTTAAATTTCTTTAGTATTGTTGGCTTATCCAAGTTCTCTATTTCTTCTCAAGTCTATTTTTGCACTTCCTATTTTCCCAGGAAGTTATCAGTTTCACCTACATTTTCTTTTTTTTATACTTAGTGATAATTTATTGATAAGTAGTATTTTGTTCCTAGTGAGATAGATTAGTGTTTTCTTTTTGATTTATTAATTTTTTATTATACTTTAAGTTCTAGGGTACATGTATACAACGTGCAGGTTTGTTACATATGCATCCATGTGCCATGTTGGTTTGCTGCACCCATTAACTCGTCATTTACACTAGGTATATCTCCCAGTGCTATCCGTCACCCCAGCCCCCGACCCCACAACAGGCCTCGGTATGTGATGTTCCCCACCCTATGTTCAAGTGTTCTCATTGTTCAACTCCCACCTATGAGAACATGCCATGTTTGGTTTTCTGTCCTTGCGATAGTTTGCTGAGAATGATGGTTTCCAGCTTCATCCATGTCCCTACAAAGGACATGAACTCATCCTTTTTTATGGCTGCATAGTATTCCATGGTGTATATGTGCCACATTTTCTTAATCCAGTCTGTCATTGATGGACATTTGGGTTGGTTCCAAGTATTTGCTATTGCAAACAGTGCCGCAATAAACATATGTGTGCATGTGTCTTTATAGCAGCATGATTTATAATCCTTTGTTTATATACCCAGTAATGGGATGGCTGGGTCAAATGGTATTTCTAGTTCTAGATCCTTGAGGAATCACCACACTGTCTTCCACAATGGGTGAACTAGCTTACAGTCCTACCAACAGTGTAAAAATGTTCCTATTTCTCCACATCCTCTCTCCAGCACCTGTTGTTTCCTGACTTTTTAATGATCGCCATTCTAACTGGTGTGAGACGGTATCTCACTGTGGTTTTGATTTGCATTTCTCTGATGGCCACTGATGATGAGCATTTTTTCATGTGTCTGTGCGCTGCATAAATGTCTTCTTTTGAGAAGTGTTTGTTCATATCCTTTGCCCATTTTTTGATGGGGTTATTTGGTTTTTTTCTTGTATTGTTTGAGTTCTTTGTAGATTCTGGTTATTAGCCCTTTGTCAGATGAGTAGATTGCAAAGTTTCTCCCATTCTGTAGGTTGCCTGTTCACTCTGATGGTAGTTTCTTTTCACCTACGTTTTCAAATGTGTTCGCATATGGTTTCCCACAGTACTCTAACTTTTCTTCTTGGCTGTATCTATGGTTATTTCTTTCTCTATCTATCTATCTATCTATCTATCTATCTATCTATCTATCTATCTATCCATCCATCCATCCACCCACCCATCCATCTACATTTATTTTTATTTATTCATTCATTCACTCCTTCCTATATTCTGTTCCATTAATTGTCACCAGTATCACCCCTCCACTTTCTTTCTTATTCTTTTTTTAGATGGGGTCTCACTCCATGGCCCAGGCTGGAGTGCAATGGCACAATCTTGGCTCACTACAACCTCCTCCTCCTGGGTTCAAGCAATTCTCCTGCCTCAGCCTCCCGAGTAGCTGGGATTACAGGCATGCACCACCACGCCCAGCTAATTTTTGTATTTTAGTAGAGACAGGGTTTCACCATGTTGGCCAGGCTGGTCTCGAATTCCTGACCTCTTGATCTGCCCATCTCGGCCTCCCAAACTGTTGAGATTACAGGCGTGAGCCACAGTGCCCAGCCCTTTCCACTTTCTTTAACCAGAGATCTAACTATTGACTCTAAAACACAAAACAGCTTTTAGGGCTGTTAATTTTCTCTGTGTTTTTCTGTGCTCTCTATTTCATGGATTTCTGCCCTTTCCTTTATTATTTCCTGCCTTATGGATCCTTGGGCTTTCTCCCTTGCTCTTTTTTCCGCCTCTTGAGTTAATTTTTCATGTTTCTTAACACATGTGTTTATAGCTATAAATGTCCTTCTAAGCACTGCTTTAGCTGTGTCGTGCTATTTAGACATATACTGCTTCATAATCACTCAGCCCTAAAGTTCTTTTATTTCTTTTATGATTTTATTTCTAACAAGAGTTTTTATAGCATATTATTTATATAAGCTATTCTTTTACTATTAATTTCCAGTATAATTGCCTTATGCTCTCCACATGCTGTGTTATAGACAGATGTAACCTGTACACATACATCCCTATGTTACAGACTTCACCTGTATACATCCTAGTATTGTACATGTTCTCTGTATGCTTAGAAAGTAACATGTAGAGTTCAAAACATACTAACAACTCAAACTTATTTATTATATTGCTTCAGATATTAATACTCCTGCTTATTTTTTGTTGGCCTACTTCTTGGAGAGATGTGTTAAAATCTCCAAACACAACTGCTCATTCATCCACCTTTCCTTGCAATTGTATCAACAGAAGTTCATGGTAACAGCTCAAGCTACAGGCACTAATGTCTGCACGGTATCACCAGACCACCAAAACAGCACCCCCACTCCTGATGCTTTCATTACTCACTCTTTCCAAACACCTCAGGACAATCTTCAGCCCCCAGCACCGCCTTCTTGTCCTTCATTCCTGAAACCCGTGCCTCCCTTGCTTCTCAGGGCTGGCTCCAGGGCAGAGCTGGAAGGCTGTGCAAGAACCACCTGGCCGAGCACTGGACCCAAAGGTGTCCAACCACAACCAGCTCACTGCTACCAAAAGCGGGGATCCCCGATTTCCCAAAGTCATACACAGAATAGTCTTCAGGGCACATTGTGGACTGAAGCAGGGTGAAATACAGCACTGTGTTACTTCAAACAGATTTCATTTGTCAAGGGTAAGTCTGACTTTGTTATATGCACTCTTGGTAAACAAATATGCCAACAAAAGACAGTAACTCACCTTCCCCCATAAGCAGGCTATAAGGTTTAGAGCAGATCCATAGACAGCAAAGGTTCAGACGTATTGAACTCAGAGCATCATAACCACAGCAGGTGATTTACAGAAGGGTTGACTTTTGTCGTGGAGCCCACCGACCTAAAACACAAAAACACAGGGCTGTGTGAGTGCATCAGTGCGGGGCCTGCCCGCCAGCACTGGGCTTCAACAGAACTGCCTCTTGCCTTCAACACAGCAGTCAGCACCTCTTCAGCATTCGAGTACAAGGCATGGTGTGAGTGTGGAGACGGAGTGCCAGCAAGCGCTCCCCTGGTGCTCTTCCCCCCAGCACCCCAAATGAGATGACTCAACCCAAAGGCAGGCTTCTACTTCACAAGTGAGACGTCTACATGAAATGTTTTGATAAAATTGCACGCACTTAGTGTATCTGCTTATATCTACACTGATTTTAAAACAATATTTATTAAATTATACATTAATTTAAATACATGGCTGGTTTTCTAATTTCACTGATAGTGAACAAATTCCATCTAATTTCTTCAATTTCAGCATGGTCTTAGAGGAGAGACTTGGGAAAAAAAGGCACATTTGAGGTTGGATGTGGTGGCTCATGCCTGTAATCCCAGCACTTTGGGAAGCCAAGACGGGAGGATCACTTAAGGTCAGGAGTTTGAGGCCAGCCTGGGCAACATGGTGAAACCCCCGTCTCTACCAAAATACAAGAAATGAGCCAGGCGTGGTGGCGGCGCCTGTAATCCCAGCTACTCCGGAGGCTGAGGCAGGAGACTTGCTTGAACCCGGGAGGCGGAGGTTGCAGCGAGTTGAGACGGCGCCGCTGCACTGCAGCCTGGGTGTGACAGAGCGAGACTCCGTCTAAAAAAAAGCACATTTGGAACCTTGGGAGAAAAAGGGAAGGAGGGATGGAAAAGGTAGAAATTCAGTTTCCTACAGAAATAAAAGCATAGCAAGGCATAAGAAGACACAGATTTAATCCATCTCCAAATGAACCATTCAGTTTTTTTCTTAAAAAAAACCTACGTTTCTGCTGACCAACAAAAAAGGATGCTATTGGACAAACAAACCTAGTAAAGCACCCGTGTCCCTCAGCACGTCCGTTCCCGGCTAGAAACATCTGTTACTGCTAGTGCAGGAAAATCCAAGTGCTTTTAAAATAAATAGAAAAAAGGCATGCAAAATCCTTTTGGGTAAACGATGTTCTCCAGTCGCAGACACTCCTGAAGGCCATCGTGGCTCTGGGAGAGGAAACCAGGGTGTAGGCACTGAAACTCCTTCAGCTAATGGAACTGAGAACTCCCGCCCAGCACCGCAGTCCAAAGTCAAATGGGGAAAAGCTGTGCAGATGTAAGAAACACCAGAAACAAAACACTAAAAATACCAAGAATACAAACGCACAGTTAAAATAAGAAACTGCGAAATGAGAATTAATTTAACCTAAGAAAGAAATTAAAGAGAATGACACAATTAGCCTAGAAATGAGACTAAGTTACAAGGTACCAAAAGAGAGAGATTCAGTTGAGTGTGAGGCAGGAGAACAGGAGGAGGCAGGGAACAGAAAGCCGATCCATCCAGGCTGACTTCCTAGAACTAAATCAAATGAAAGCTCCTCAGCAATGACAGGGATGTGAATGGCTTTGCAACTGCACTCCATCCTCTCAGTTCACAGCATTTACCCTTTGTAACTTCACATGCAGCCTCTCCATTTACACAGACCACACACGCCAAGTAACATCCTCTCCATTTACATAGGGTGCGTTCTGAGTAAATGACTCTGACTTCAATTCATTCTCTTCATTTTCATAGAATGTTCGCCAAGTAACCAGTGGGAAACCTCTAGAGTATTGAAACCCCAGAAAATTCTGTAAGCTCCTGAGCCCCAATGGTTAGGCTGCTCCCACACCATAGCATGTACTTTCGTTCTCAATAAAACCCTGCTTTTGCTTTCTTGCTTTGTTTGTGCGTTTTGTCCAATGCTTTGTTCGAGATGCCACCTGGACACCCTCTACCGGTAACGACTGCATAAGGAACACTGCAGGAGGACAGAGAACATGAAAGAGAACATGAGGCCGACCAAGAGGTGAGAGACGTGCAGAGAAGCTGCCAGACACGGAGCCCAGGCCAACAAACACCCGAGAAACACAGACTGGAGTTCCCAAAAAAGAAAAGCAAAACTACGAAACAGACCTAATACTTACATTCCTAGAAATGTTCTTAAGAAAAAAATAATCGACAAGTTGAAAGGCTCATCATGTCCCTGAACAAACTGACCCAGAACAGTGGCCCTGAAGGCACTGCCCAGTAACGATTACAACTGAAAGAAAAAATTCTTTGGGACTCTAGGCAAAAAGACCAGCTCATTCACAAAGGAAAGAAAATCAGACAGGGATCGGACTTCCTGACTGCAATGTACAAGGTAAGTGAACAGTGGAGCAATTATTTTCATAAACTCAAGTAAAAATAAAGTGTGACCAAAGGATTTTATGTCAGCCAAGCTGTCCTTCAAAATTAAAGCTCTAGAGAAATAGTTTTAAATAGCTAAGAACTCAATGAACAGTGTGTTTCCAGGCCCTTCATGAGAAACCTACTACAAAAGAATCTCCCTCAAGCCAAGAGACTGCTGGGAAATTTGACATAAACAAAAATAACAAATCTGTTGAGCACAGACTAAAACAGAAAGTGAGGACAAGGATGGAGGTGGGGTACGAAACAGTTTCTTATCGGGGAGCATGCTGTTCTGCAAAAGTAAAAATACAGCAAATAAATCAGAGGCAGATGAATCAGAAAAAAAGGAATGTAGAATAAGCTCATAGACTGAAGCATTAAAAATAGGTGGGAGAAAAGAATCCCACCAGACAAGCCAAAATAAAGAGGTCAGAGGAAGAAAGAGAGGGACCAAGGTGCGATAAGAGGTGTTGTTATAACAGTAGCCAACAGGACAAAACATAGACTTTCCTAAATGCCAAAAACAATAGAAAAAAAAAGGCAAAGACACAAACTACATTAAAAAATAAAAAGACGCACAATAAATAAAACACAACACACACATTAAATACAGGAACAAGTTATGCGGCAGTTGGGACAGGACATACCGGTCCTAGCAACACGTGAGTAAACACGTGCAACACGTGGCCCTATGAAAAGTCTCCACTTGGCTCACAAAAGCCAGCTCTGCTTTACACAAGAGGCACGACCATTGCCGGGTGATTTGAAAAGGCTAAATGTCAAGGAATGAGCAGAAGCACGTGAGGTCAATGCACCAGGCTGAAGAGCAGGGATTGCAATCTGCCTGTCAGACAAGGTCCAGCCTCCCCTCAAAGCAGGAAGCAAGACCAAGAAGGGCACTTCCTGATGCCGGAGGACCCAGTGCACAGTCAAGCCATATGAGTTAAGAATCTACTAGAACCGGCCGGGCGCGGTGGCTCAAGCCTGTAATCCCAGCACTTTGGGAGGCCGAGACGGGCAGATCACAAGGTCAGGAGATCGAGACCATCCTGGCTAACACGGTGAAACCCCGTCTCTACCAAAAAATACAAAAAACTAGCCGGACAAGGTGGTGGGCGCCTGTAGTCCCAGCTACTCGGGAGGCGGAGGCAGGAGAATGGCATAAACCCGGGAGGCGGAGTTTGCAGTGAGCTGAGATCCAGCCACTGCACTCCAGCCTGGGCGACAGAGCGAGACTCTGTCTCAAAAAAAAAAAAAAAAAAGAATCTACTAGAACCCCTCAAACTCAGAAGCTGGAGGACCCAGCACACAGTGAGGCCATATGAGTTAAGAATCTACTAGAACTCCCAAACACAGAAGCTGGAGGACCCAGCACACAGTGAGGCCATGAGTTAAGAATCTACTAGAATCCCCAAACACAGAAGCTGGCTTTATAATGCAGAAACTATAGGTGTTGGGGAAAGAAACAGAAACATAAGTATAGCAATCATTAACACATGACTGTCAACCATGGCAAGGTAAGGGGTCAAAAATAATTAAACTGAAAGAGAGCTAATAACAGGAGGTAGTTCTTGGGGACATTACATCAAACTTTGTACCCCAATAATAGAGATTATACTTTCTTCTTAAACATACTTGAAACATTCATTAAAAAAAAAAAACTAGCTTGTATTAGGGCACAAAGAAAACCTCAGTAAGTTACATGAAATAGAAATGGCACAGACAGCAGGCAGCAGACAGCAGTCTATGCTAACAATGCAAGACCAGAAAACAGTGAACTTTAACCAAAGGATATTTCCTTGGTAATTTACATCATTTTAGAAACACCTAAGGGGAACTGGTTCATGACGTGTATCTATCAATACAGTTATAGCTATCTCCCTAATAAGTCCCTAAATTGGTAAGGAATACCATGAGACCAGACATTGAGAGAGTGACGACACAGACCGACACATTCTTGCAGTGACCCGCCTCTTCCAACCTCATGCACACGCCCGGGGGAGCCTGAGAGCAGCTCCCTGATGGAGCTGGACACGAATGAGATGGAATCTCCACGCGGAAATGTTCTGCAGCTCCCTTTTCAGTGGAAAACAGAGCTGTTTAGGAAGGCAAGGAGACGGGGGAGATGAAGGAGGCGTGGGATCCCCTTCCTCACCTCTGGCCTGCTCTGGCTGTGAGACCCTGGGAGTAAAGCAGAGCAATGGCTTTAACATCTTGCTGAACATGCTGAATTGGCTGCCACAACAGATCAGCTTCAAAGGCAAGGACCCCAAGGGTGTCGCATTCCCTCCTGGGCACAGTCCAGACAAAAGCAGTGCACTCAGCTGCAAACTACACACATGCATACACATGGCAAACGCACACACACATGTGTGCACACAGGTGCTAAAGCAGCTCACACACATGCATACACACGGCAAAGGCACACATACATGTGTGCACATGGGTGCTTAAGCAGCTCACACACATGCATACACACGGCAAAGGCACACACTCACATGTGTGCACATGGGTGCTTAAGCAGCTCACACACGGCAAAGACACACACTTACACACATGTGCACACAGGTGCTTAAGCAGCTCACAGCATTATCCAGGCTTTTAAGAAGTGGCTTCAGCTTCACCAGAAGGTTTCAAACCTCAGACAATCACCAGGCAGCATGCTGTCCCTCTGTAAC